GACTGAGGCTAGGGGCTGTTTGTGCGCCGGGAGAGGCATCGAGCGGTAATCATTTGAAACTCTATGCCCCACCTTCTCTATGTTCCCGCCCTCTATGCCCCACCTTTTCAAGTGGTAAAAGTTTCATTCATGGGCGGTTCGTGGTTGCAGAGATATAGCGATTTCAAATTGGGCCCATCTTTTTGAAACAGCCTGTATATCTAATATTGTGATTTCTATATATATCTGTAAATATATGTCTGTAATTCACGAACCTGGGATGCAGGGTTGGTGGATCAAAGGTGGAGCTTCAGTGCATGCGAGACTGCTAAATCGAGTGCTAATGATGTGCATGTACAAGCCGGTACAAGTAGGTTTCTGATCTAACTACACAGTTCAGGTGTTAATCCCACACATGTAGGCTTTCTTTGGAGACTTCAAAATCCATTCAATGCAAAATTACACAAATAAAATAAAATTGCCAAACATCCCAAAGCTTTGACACTTTCCACTTTGTGGTGTAAACAATAAAAATGGATCAAAATGTTTTCTTCACACATATGTGGCTTCCCATGAGTACAATGTGTAGCACCTGTGATCACACACTCGGTACACATACGTACTAAGCTGAAGCTTCGACGACTGCAGTATGTGTCGATCTCACACGTGTCAGCACTATACATTTCGGGCATCCAATTTCAGAAATGCACAATGAACATCATATCTCCTGCATGATCCAAACAGCTTAACCCTCTAAACAAACACCTGGATAATAGATGAATAAAAACTGTTGCCATCTACTAAAGAGCCGTCTTTCATTAAAAGACAAAAGTTTAACTGTAACACGTTCATTACAATTGATAATTGCCACATTGTCTTAGCTAAAACAACATACAAACACCATTTAGAGCATGACACGATTGCTGTATTCCATGCATTAATATCTACGAAAGCTTCAATTAAACACACAGAATCACAACAATACACATAGTGAACATCGTTCTCTCACAATGACACATCAAACGTGCGAAAGAAAAACATGAGCTGCCTTTGAAAAGTGCCGTTTTAAACACTCGGGCATTCACGGGGCACCTGCTGAAGCTTAAGCCTCTCTTGCCAGGGCTGCATTTCACTTTTAACCAATCTCTTGCCATATAAACTTTCACCAACCCTCAAGCTTTCCAATAACCTCAAGAAAGGAGTCACTTGTACATTTAAAGCACTGCTGTTGAAGTAGTTGTGAACAGGTGCGGACGGCGCTATACACCACATTCTTTTTCTCCCTCTAGATGTTATTTTGGCCATGCCCGTGCCACACGCGCATTTTTTGCTAAATCCTGGACAGTCAGACAACCAGTGTGAACTCCTGGCAGCAGTTATAAATGTAGCATTTTGTAACCAATTCCATCACTGTGCATTGTGCATTTGTGCGCGTGTGTGCAAGCGAATGAATGCTCGCTTCTATGCCTATTTTACAGTTTGGTAAATGTGTTTGTGACATGCGGCGCATTGTTTGTGGCATACGGAATATTGGAGTGGAATGTACTCTTCACGCTAAATGTTGCAAAACAATAGTGGGTTCCAGGGTGTTCCTCATATAGTTCCATAAAACCAAACATTTGTTTCTTATTCTTGGTCCTTTCGGTAAATTCACGTAGAAGGGAAATAGTAAAGTAATAATAAAGTAATAAAAAAAAATTATGTTTTATTTTGACTTTTATTATTTCCCATCTGAAAGAACCAAGAATATGAATCCCTGCAGTCACGAAAGCTTTAAATCGGAAAAATTATGTTTCTCATTATTTATACAACACCGATTATTATAGAAAAAAATTACAATTTCTAAACTGATATAATAACTTTGAGTGCTTATTTGCCTCCCATATTTACACGTTGGTTGATTGGCGCGCTGTTGAGTTGTGGGCAATGCAGACCGAATCAACGAGCCGGGGTCCCCCATCCCGCCGGGACACACGCGGCGCCTGAGCTGAGACAGAGTTCTGTCGATCTCACATCGGCCTCATCATCCACCTTTGGACCCACAGACAGGACAGTGACCAGAGACAATCATCTTCGACCGCAACAGATTGCAGGAATTTGACAATGAGCCCATCAAAAATGCTGATATCTTTACACAGTGAGAGGTCGCTCATTCTCCTCTGCTGCCCCCAATGACCTGAATTCCTATCCCCCTGCTGTCCACGCTGCTCACTCCCTGCCCCCGTTCAAGTCCAGGCTTAATGACTTCCTTTTTTCCTCTGCCTATGATTGACCGCCGCTCTCTGTGAAAATGTATGTCCACTGTTTCTGTGTAACATCTTGAGATATGGTTTAATATAGACACTTATATAAAGCCAACATGTTTTCCAAAATGAGTGCACATGTAGTATTATACGCAGTTCTACATGCACCATGGTTATACACAAGTTAAAGCAACAATCCTTGGAGTCTGAACCAGCCCTGCCTCTTCTGAGCCCAACATACCACTTGCGTACATGTTTGTTCACAGAGTTGAGTTTGAGAATTAAAACTGCTACAAGTGCCCTACACAGTGCCCTACACAGTATATAGCTAGGATGAACACGGACTGCAGTGTGACCTTGACACAAAATGCTCTATGGACGAGATTAATCTGACTCTACTTATTAATTTTTATAGTACAAATCTACCTTCCTTTAATCACAAAATTATATTGCTTGACTAAACACTGGTCATGCCCAATTCAAGTTTACTTGTCACATATTTAACACGTAGGCTTTCGCGACCAATATTATTCATAATATAGGTTTTTGGGCCAGATTGCGTTATTTATAAATGTGTCGTAACTCTCCACCACCCGACACGGCCAAACAGTAAAAAATGTGTCATTTTTTTAAATTATCCGTGTATGTGAAAACACGTGAATTGGTGTGTTTTAAACTTAAACGTTGTGACTTACAACACAAATTATTATTCGACTATTGTGAGTTCAACAAAAATGTTCTTGGGTACTAACTCAAACACATGGTGCTTGTTCTAATACGGGGGAGGAGGAAAGTAAAAAAACACACCACAAGTAACACTAGCCAATTTGCACACACGGAAAAGCAGTCATTGTAGACACGTCTTAACAACTGTGCAATGATAAACTCCTTTATGCAGGCGGTCAGTCTGTCAGCGGACACCAGCTGACAGGGCCCAGGTTTTAATCTCAAGCGCCGAAACTGGTGGCGAGGTGCAGCTGCCACGCGGCACTCACCCCAGCCGGCCTGCCGCTCCAGGGATTACGGCGCTCGCCATCATAAAGGGTGCCATTATAAGGCAAAACCCCAGAACATCTCTGGACATTAAAAGCGTTCTCTCTGATGTCCAAAATGTCGGTATCGTCGTTACAACGGCGAGGTACACTTTTCAGTTCTTGTTTTGATCTTCGTTGAGACTCTTGACTACAGCTGCAAAAGCTGACAATTAAGTTAAAGATTTAACTATGTCTCTGCAATGAAGAGGGATAAGCCACTACTTATTTTCAAAGAAACTAATAAGTGGAGATGATCAGAGAGTACTTAGCATATTTGCCTATCAGACTTTGCTAAAGCTACTGAATATCTGAACATGGATGTAATGATGACTATCAGGGAAATTCTGATTTACCTTAGATTTTCCTTTAGAATGTCAAGTGTTGTTTGTTCGAAACGCACCGTGGCAGGGTACTCGAGTGATCACCGAGGCGTGGTTTAAGTGGAAAGTTGAGTTTGACCCACAATGTGCATGTTAATCACGCACACACGGTCTTGGTAATGTTCAAAATTAAACAACAGGAAGGGTTTCTCACAATCATTCACGAGCATTTCATTACTAGGCATCAATCCTCGAATAAACATTGTAATATCTTATACTTGAATTAAAAATATATATATATTTAGGTGAAGCATTTGACTCTGTAGTTACAGAAATGACATATGTAGCTTTAAGATCCAGCCCAGAAAAACGATGTTGTAATGTTTTTCCATTTTCCCCTGGCCTTCACAAGACACATTACTTCAGTGTGATCGAACCTGGGCAATGGATATACCTACGTTCCACTTTCCAATAAGAGTACAACATTCAGTACAAGCTGCACTTGGGGAAAGTTATATGTATAGTGCTAATGTAGGTATTGTTATAAGCTGCTGTGGGACGATACTGTCCAGAGGGATTGCAGCAAAAATTTTCGTTTTGTAGTATGCTCATATGCCTATGTTCCACCCCTTCACCAACCTACAGTAGTCAGCATGCTGCATGGTGAAGGGAAGCCTCCATCCAGCAGTGGAATGACAAAGAGGCTCTACGTGTACATTCATACTTACTGAAACAGAACTTTAAACATGCACATGGCATTGTCCAATACGACCTTGAAACATCGGCCCACAAATAAATAAGAATGTATCACGAACGTCACTTAGGAAAGGGCCTCCACACCATTCATGCCCAATGCCAGCAGTGCCCGAGAGCCCCAGCGTAAGAGCGACATGGGCTATGGAATGTGTGACAATGCTCAAATGCAACTGCTGCATTTTACAGTTGGAGTGGAGGCACGCGATGTCGAGTTGGACGGTGTGCTTCAAATAAACACACACACACACACAAGCTCCCAACGGTCAATCATGAACAATGTATGCTACACCCGCAGGGCTCTGCTTGTATTTAACGACTCAGAACATCTTGTGAAGAAAGGCTTTAAAAAAAGGGAAAATAACTGAGGAAAACCAAATAAAACTGGCCATACTGCAGAGAGTTCTTGAAGGAACTGGGGTAATGTGGAGGCAGGCAAAATAACCAGAAAGAGTTGAAAGATGCTGAAAATAAAATCTGACCCCAAATAATGGAATTGAGATGAAGATATAGAGTAAAAAAATGGCCCTTCAAAGGCTTCCTTGATGATATCATACTTGAATGATTTTCTGTGAAAGTGGGAAAGTGATCACATAACCATGATACCCGAAAATGTTTGGTGTTTGTACACTCCTCACTGGAATGCACCCATGTCTATAACTGCTACTCACGTGGCTCGCCACTTCTCCGCCGATGTCACGGCTGTAGCGAAGGTACTGGGCTACAGGCCCGGCCAGGATACTGTCAAATGCCTCCACGCATGGCGGCACCTCTACAGTGACACACACGTTGGCACATACGACAGCACACACACGGTGGCACACAGAGAAGCACAAAGTGGCACAAAGGGCAGCACAAACAGTGGCACACAATAGAGCACATACATACACAGTGGCATTTTAAAACACCAGAGCACACATGAACTTTATAATTCAATACAATTGCTAATTTTTTTATGATGTACTGAACAGTTAGTCCTCACTGATGTGGATTTTATTTTCCAGCTAAACAAGACGTGTTGATCTACATAACATAGATTAATAAATTAAATTCTATTTACATTTTATTCCCCAAAAAGCGTTTTTTTTTCAATTTACAACCCACTTGTAAAAATATATTCTTTTCACCTGTATTCCTATGCAATGTATAAGTTACTTACAGTTCCTGCTATATGTTAAGTGGCAATGTATTTTTTTAGTGTTTTACAATGACATTCAATTGCAGATGCTCATAAAATAGCTTTTCCATTAGATGAAATCAACGTGGTCGCATTTAGGTGCAATAAAAATCCCAATTTAACCGTTTATCGCAAACATTGCTCCCAACACAAATGCATCTCTGGCCTTACCTTCTTCAATGCCATTGATTGCATCTCCACTGGGGCCACCAGTTCCTCCAGGGAAGGCAGCCTCCAGCCTCTGTGCCACAATCTCCAGCCGCTCCACCAGCTGATTTAGGTCTGCCATCCTGGCCACAGTTTCACACATCACAATATTGTAATGCATATAATAAAGGCAAACACTACCCATGTTCACCTTGCAGATGGTAATGCTGTTAGCAAGCACCTACTAAGGGAAACGTGAGTGGATGGTGTGTTTAATTTGAGTGCTGATATTGACACGCCACACTCGGTTATTGTTGTAAAGCTGAGCAGAACACGGGAAGGTCCAAGACAATTTCAGATACCATGTGCTACTAATTTTATCCATAGCTGGGAATATAACCCAGGTTTCCAGGATCATAGCACTGTGGCCCACTGCAACACCGCACCCCATATCACACATACACAGGATGCTGTAAACTAAGACACTGTGCTACATTGTAACTGGTTAACCAATGTTTATGTGATGGTTACGCCGTCATAGCAGATATTGGCTGCCATTATATTAAGACCCAGACCTATTTTAGGAAACAAAATGTACATTTTATTATCCACAAAGGTGTCGGTGACTTTGAATCAAACAAATGCTGACTCACGGTATTAATACATATTGTGTCTCAACTCCTGAAAGAGAAAATCACAATATTTGCACAGGCAGTAATTTCCAGCTTGAAAATAAATAAATAAATAACCCGAGATGATATACTGCGCAGGCACGTGGGAGGCATTACTGCACTGGCTGGCACATGCAAGACGCTGGTGGGACCACCACCACCACCACCAAAGCAGGCTTTGTATCACACACAGTGGTTACGAGGATGACATCGACGACACTGACACCGCGACACCAGGTGCAGCTCATGTATTAAGGATATGTTGACCTAGGGCAGGTTAAGGTCAAATCCTGACACAAAATGTCACCGTTGTTGTGCATTATGAACAGGAGCCTATTGTGGGTCGTCACGCATTGATAGCACAGTTCATGAACCATCACCAACCACCCCCACATTACTCCTCATACAAGTCCAACGGTCGACAGCATGTGCATAGACACTTAGCGTATCATTCCCATCTTGATGATTTCCAAACCTCATCAGATATTTTTAAAAACAACCTGGCGGCAGTTCATCCATTGGTGGCAATGAGGACGCCCCACATGTTTACAAGCAATCGGACCAAAAATAAGCAATCGTCTTAATGGGAATGATGCCCTAATATGTAGCCATTATATAAGGATATCCATGTAGCCAGTATAATCGGCACTTGTAAACTGTGTGTAGATCTGGTCAGGTTTGCTGTGGTTGGATCACTACACCACGATGAAGGTTATGAGTACATTCGTTCAAATTCCCAAGTGGAGCGTTGACTAGGTTTATCATTCTTCTGGAGTAAAGAAGTGATTAGAGTACCTGTTTGTGGAAAAGTCAGTTACTGGACATTTGTGAAACAGAGCTATACAGTTCTTGGGTCTTTTGATAAAGTCACGCAGATAGGTTAAAAGAAAATAACAAAAAACGCCGACGTTTCGATCGCAACACAAGCGGTCGTCTTCCTTTTAATGATGACGAGCGCTTGTGTTGCGATCGAAACGTTGTAGTTTCTTGTTATTTTCTTTGAACCTATCTACGTGACTTTACCGAAAGACCCAAGAATATGAATTCCTGCAGTCACGAAAGCTTCAAGTCAAGATTTAGAGCTTCATAGCTCATCGGATTCCTCCAGTATACATATTCTGATTCTGTCTGTCTCTTACAGACACTGGTCATATAAGAGACATGCAATGTTTCTACCTCAGGCTCAACGGCATCAACAAAGATGAGAATATTTGGGCAGACTATTTGTTTCAGTTGTGGAAAATACATTTAGATGATCAACAACATCAACAGGCTTTGTGCACTTCGAGGCCACATCAAAGCATTTATGGGTGAACTTGGATACCTGGCAGAGGCACCAGCTGTGATCACCGCCGTGCCCACACCTTGCTGTGTTTTCTCCAACAACCACTCTGTTCTTTGTTGCGTCGCTCCCGCACCCGCCTTTGTTACACCGAGGGGGGACGGCTGTCTCTGACTGCTCAGCAATCTCCCCCACAGAGGCCGATCGTGACACCACAGGGTAGCCGGTGGTCAGAAAGCCGCCACGCTTCGCCAGGTCCTCCTGCGACATTAGCGCGTCCCATCGTTCCTCTACCCCCCCCCCCCTTCTATCCGGGCACACAGAATTTTTTTTGGTTTTTTGTTTTATTTTATTTTTTATTAATTTTGATGTTTTACCTACGTGACTTTATCGAAAAAACCTAAGAATAGGGCACACAGAAGCTGCTGGGGCATGCGTTGGCTGGGCATGCGGGCCACATGTCCCAAGCCAATGCATTCCCGTCTACTGGGCAGGCTCACTGATATGGGACGTCTCGATCTTTCGAGGATCAATAAGCAGAGGTGGGACAAAGTCATTGTTATGCAAGTCCAAGTCGAGTCTGAAGTCATCAAATTCATGACTCGAGTCCAAGTCACATGACTCGAGTCCACACCTCTGTCAATAAGTGCCTCACACACGCCAATCTGATGATGATGGTTTGTAGGCAGGCCAGTCTGTATTGTTCTAAGCTGGCGTAAGTGTTCTTGTATGGAATCACATTTCGCATAAAGAAGAGGGCATGGTTTGTGTCCAGAAAGTATTCAGTCAGTACATCGAGAAGTCGAAAAATACGCACACAATTAGTCTAAGCAATACATGTAAATTGTATACTGTGAACAAAGTCCAGTACTACATTTGTATCGCGCACACTACGGTACACAAATACAGTATATAAAATACTGCATACACATATTCAGTATAAAGTATTATTAGTAGTCTATACAAAGCATGCTAGTCCTACAGAATACCCCTACAGTGTGTAGTCCACACAAGGCTCAAAATTATACAAGTCCACACAACACACACGAGTCTATCCAGCATAACACCGCAGTCTATACTACAATAGCTCCTACTCCAGTTTATCGAGTGAACACATCGATACAGGCCACGATACAGTCTATAACGATGCAGTCTATAACGATACAGTCTATATCGATACGCCAGCCGGTAAGTCTGTACCCTACACACCGATCTCCATGGTACAACCACCACGTCAGTCAGTCGCACTGCCATCAATGCGGCGCAGCAGACACGAGGCCGCACGGTCTCGACCCACGGCACCACCACCACTCCCGATGGGCACAACAACAACAACCTCCACTCGCCACTAAGTGGCGGTGACGTCACCACGACGCCTGTGCCAGGCCACGTGCACCAACACCACCACCACCACCACCCCCGATGGGCACAACCAAAACAACCTCCACTCGCCACTAAGTGGCGGTGACGTCACCACGACGCCTGTGCCAGGCCACGTGCACCACCACCACCACCGCCGCCGCCGATGGGCACGGGCCGTTATTCACACGCAACCCGCACTCATCGCCCGCTCTCTGCTGCTAAAGATGCTCGTCTCTTGAAGACCTCCGCCACGCTCTGCGCGCATGAGAGGGCACGCCACGACGGTGACGCCGTCGATGCGAACTGATGGTAACGATGGTAACACCGTCGATGCTAACTGATGGTAACGATGGTAACGCCGCCGATGAGAATTGCTAATTGATGGTAACGATGGTAACGCTCACCCGGCTCAACCTCACCTCCAGCGCGCCCGTTACTCCCGGTCACGTGACGCACGGCTAGCGAGGGGCGGGGCGTGAAGGGGGGAGGCGGGGCATGTGACTCCGCCCCGCCCCCCTTTGCGACGAATCAGCGGCCTCGTCACTTGGCCCCCACCCTCCCCCCGTGACCCCCTCCCCCACCCGGGGTCATCAGTAATCCCCGTCATCATTTGCAGGGTGTCACGCAATCTGTAATTGATCATTGAAATTATGGCTCATAATCACGTACAGGGTCAGTCCGGGGCAACCTTCCGTTTGGGCGATATTTATAACACTCGTTTCTATAAGCAAGGTGCCCAAATGAAATTAAATAGCAAACATCAATACCTGTACATTTGCCATTAACACTGTGGCCTTAAATGAAATATTGTATACCATATAAATAAGTGGAAACGCTTCGGCTAATGGACCTTTTTCACATGAGAAGACAACTCGGATGTGTTGCTTGTAACGGCACTCTCACACGAAAATAAATATTTGCTGAACATGTGGCCCGGGATACGTGTCCAGCAATGTCAGTTAATTGCCAGATAATTATTGTGCATTAATTCTATTCTCACGCAAATCGTTTCCCGTCAATTACATAGAGCGTTATAATGTATGCTGCATATCCATTTTATATGAATGGATATGCATTATATTATTTAAAACATTCTATAATAGACACTATTTTACTCTCTAACTATTCTAACACGAATCACCACAATCTACAAATGGTAGCAACGTGATGTGGACATCGCTGTCAAGACAGACGGGTTACCCCGTATTCTTGTACAGGGAAGTTGAGTTTTCAGGTCCATACGGCGTACAGCCGTTTCAATACGGGCAAAACATGTGTCTATCTGTGTGTGTTTCTCTCTTGTGATGGGGCTTTGTAGAATGGACGTTGAGATGTATAAGGGCACAGGGTGAACCAGTAAGGTCTAAATTGGTCTCTAATAGGGCAGACACTGATAAGGGGTTGACAGGTTTGTGTGAAGGGAGACAAATTGAGGCGACCACGGGGAGAGTCACGCAAACTCCAAATATGCAGCAGGCGCCTCCTGTATACAGGGCGACGTAGTCAACATCCCGCCACCGTGATTTTGTGATGGAGACCGCGTCTCCCTGGGCAGCTGGACGCCTGGATAATTATCAAGGACGACGCGAAGTGGGCATCGCCAGGGCCCCTTTCGGCAACATGCCGCGTGCCTCCACCAAGCGTGGCGCAATGTTCACCAAGAGGGCACAAGGCGAGAGTCGCCGAGTGGGTGCGGGTCCTGCCGAATTCGGGTCCTGCCGAATTCGGATGGACGTGGACACGTGTGTGGCCGTGCCCTTTTGCCGAGGAAGTTTATTCGCCCCGACTTTTTATTTATAGGCAACGTTGCGCAACGCGAATGTGAGCGCGCAGTTGTTGTTCGTACGACGAATACCGGCACGGAAGATATATTGTGTTCCCTTGAAGACATTCAAGTGCAGGGGCGCAGTCATTATCACCGTCAATCACCATCACCACTACCCACTGCCTGAGCGTTGCCATTTCACTGTCCGGCTATGCAACGATGCACACGTGAACCGATTCCCATCGCTCCGTCTCCGCTGTGGATGTCCCGCGGCAAACGCGTCTCAATCCTTGGCTGCCACCCGACGATTGGTCTTGACCTTGCGCTTCCACCAATTGAAACCAAACCCGTCGCGTTCAATCCCGAGCACTGCCTTTGTGAGAACAGAAAAGACATCTGCAATGGACCAACGCTTCAGGCAACAGCCCTTCTCCATGCGACGCGCCTCGCAGAAGGTCACTGCCAAAACATCGGCACATCACGTCGCGTTTAGTTTCTGTTGCACGGCGACTAAAGGAGGCAGTGCGAGTGACGAGTATATTGATGTGTGCGCGTGTGCACCACTGCCAACCTGATTTCTCAAGTTTTATTCCATCATAACTTCATAAGTCTTAGCCATCAGTCATCATCCCAAGCCCAGTGATGTATTGTTTCGTCCCTTATCCACGTGGAAGCTCATTCATACACGAACGATTGGTAACCCACACCACCACGATTCACACCAGTAACGTCCTTGTCCACCAGACGATGATCCAAGATAGTCTGCTCTTCATCCACACACGCAAATGTGGCATCACCAACACTCACGGACCCCCCCCCCCCGCCCAACTGACCCCCAATCCAATCCTGGATCAATTTCAAAATTCCACTCACCGTCGTTTAGATCATCCGTGGACTATCTTGCCTACCTCTCATCTCACTCTACTGCCCTCCACGGACTCTCCACTACCAGCAAGCAATGCGTTCTAAACAAGCACCTCGTCAACAGCGTCTAGAGACGTGGGTGCATCGCGACACGGCAGTAGTGGTTCTTAAATCGGGGGGGCACGCACCCCCTGGAAGTGCGAGACATGCCAGATTTGTTTTTATTAAGCACGGGCACGGAAGTACAACTGCTTTGTTTCATCAAACCGAAGTATTTATTAACATACTCTTTAAATCTTTCGGTAAAGCCACGGGGATAGAAAAATAGAAATGTTTTCCTGCCTCAGCAGCTCTCCCGATATATTTTTTCACCTGATGACGATTGCTTGTGTTGCGATCGAAACGTCATATTTTTTTTTATCTACGTGGCTTTACCGAAAGACCCAAAGAATATGAATTCCTGCAGTCACGCAAGCTTTAAGTGAATAATTATTAACATTATACATGTTTTTTTACGATTGCGAACCAAAGGGCTGCAGTAAAGGTGAAGAACCACTGCTCAATAGTATAAGGCCATATTTGATTTTCGCCCTTGGGTTTGCCCACTGGAGCGAGCGGTCGTGAAAACAAATTAAACAGTGCGCATTTAACGACTCATCCATCACGACGCATCACCAGTGCGAATACCGCATCACAGATGCGTTGGCTCGTGTGATTTAGATTCCCTGAAGTGGTGGACCTGGGAATTATTCTAATGTGGTTGGTAGAAAACAACCACGGCGTCCAATGGAGACAAGGGAGCTGGCTACACACGAGTGTGTGCCCACAATTCATGTTTTTCAACGTTGGTTAATGCCTAAAAGAAACCCAGCAAACGCCCAGGATACGTGTACAAAGGACAATGGACACCAGTTTGAACGCGACAGGGAGGAATGAGGATATTTTTAAATTGTTTTGAGACCGAAGACTGGCATCTGGAAAAAAAACCCATCGGATTGCGTACATCTCGGGCAGTTGTCGAGAGCAAAAACGATGGCGTGGAGAGACGGACAGCCTGGAAGTGCGTTCGGTAGACTGCGCGTAACAATGAGAAACGCACCAATGTGGTTGAAGAAGACGTTTTCAGTCGGTGACCTATGGGTTACAGCTGCTGCTGCTAATGAAGCAATCAGTAGGGTGGGAATTCTTAAAATATGGCAGAAAACAGCTCGAAAATGCTTCAATGGACCACACAACTGAACTCCAGCAAAAAATAAACACCACACTTATAGCATGTTCATTATAATTTAATATATATCATGTTTATAGTATACAATGACCCTCCTGAAGTGTATTGCAGTGGTTTGAAAAAAAATGCCATCATAAACAATAATAAAACAGTATAATACTGTCATACCTGATTATTTGTTACACATTCCATCACAATTTGATGAACACATCTTCGTACGCTCCAGGCAGCCCACCATTGTTTCCCCCCGTTGTGCTTATCAACGTACACAACAGGAATTAACAATCAAGCGCTTGAACCGCCTGCAACCAGCGAGTCACAAGTCGGCAAGGACATCTTGGAGTGGCGGCGGGAGGGGTGCCACGACCAGACACGCGGCGACGGCCAGCCAGTACCGGGAAAAATAGAATCATCCGGGCAGACACTCGCGTCACCCCCCAGTGCTGCCAGCAAACTCCACCGATGCCGGTGCTGTATGGTACAACGGAAATCTATACCACCACTCTTGTCGTCATCGGAAGGGTACAAAGCAGAACATGGTCATTTCAGGTTGCGAATTAAATATTTTGAAGAAAGAAAAATTGTCTGCAATTACTCTTTAAAAAATAAACCAACATTTCTCGTTTTTTTTTCCTTTTAGTTTAAAACTGCGGTTAGTGCTCCCGTGGACTTGCGACAGGCCAGATCGTTACTGCACCAAGAGACTCGAGCAATCACATCACCAATTCATTTGAGTTACATTTTTTTTTTAAACGCAGTAGTCACGACACATGTATATACAGAGCAAAACTGTAAACAGCTTCAGAAGTTTAACTATAGGCTTTGGTGACAATTATTTGAAATTAGAAATATGTCCCGTCACATTTTAAATTATGAAAAGACGATTCCAGTTATTTTTTTTTAAATTGCATGTGTACACCGGTAAATAGACTACAGAAAAAAAATAACAAAAAGACAACGTTCTTACTTTGTAAATGTTTTCTTTCTAAAAACTAGAGAATAAGATAGAAAGGATTATCATCAGTGTATTCAGCGCTAAAATAATCTAGCAATGAATGGCATTTATAAATGTAGCTTTGTGTGAAATAATGGTATTAAAAACAATAACATTAATGATAAGCATAGTATTAATAAAGAACCTTTTTGCTTCAAATATTGTGCTCCGAGAGCTTAAATTTCGCGCACGGCAACCGACAATCGAGACTCTCTCTCCCCCAGCGCTCTGCGTAGCCGGCAGACGCATTGTTCGTTCCGTGAATGTAACTGCTGACAAATAAATAACCCCGACGGACGATGCACGCGGTAAGGCACAGTGGACAGAAAACTCTGCCCTCTTCAGAGAACCATTAGAAAACACACGGGGCGGGCCGGGAGCAGGGAACGTTGAGCGTGCCGGTTCACGAATGTAGTGTGAGCGACGATGATGACGACGGGTAACACTTAACGTTGTCTTCCAGTGTATTGTAAAATAGACATTGCCATCCCCTTGATATTGTTTTTTTTAGACAAATATAGTAAAAAGAAAGCCAACAAATAAAGCCAAGCTTTGGTAAATATTCTAAGCAGCAGGAATTAACGTATATGTTCATCATTTGCGATTTTTTTTGTTTTAAATATTTAGACACAGACTATCCTTTTTTTGTATTTTTCCCTTTTCTTCCATTTAAGCAGCCGAGGCTAATAACCCTTAGAGGGCCACAAAATTCAAAATTAATCCATTTTACAGAAGGGCTAAGCTAGTTCATGCTACCCGTATTCAATACACTACAGTGTAAATGGCAAATATATATGTGTCTATACCGTATTACTTTGCTGGCAGATAAATTGGTGGAAATTAATCAAATAACTACTCAAAAAAGTAGGTCAGGCTCACTTTAGGCCCTTCCCCCACCTGACACAGAATTCCATCAACTTGTGCAAAAAATACACCGATTGATGAACAGCAACTACATGTGTTGCCACAATGGGGAGCACGGGATACGCCACCTCACATCGACTACGGCGTCTTCGTGCGAGCCGAAGACGCCGTAGTTGCACGGGACTAAGCTTAGCGTGACCCTGGGGCGGCTCCCACAGCTCAGATTGCCACCACGGCCGTCTGAGAGGCTGCAGTCAGACAGCTCTGGCTGCGGTGCTAAGGGTGGCGCCATAACGGCTTTCGATGGGGCGGGGGGGGAAGAGCGAACGGGCGGGCGAGCGGCGCGGAGCGGGGCAGGCGAGCGAAGATGGGCAACGACGAGAAAGATTTCCGTCACTGCAGCCGGTCGGCATGCAGGGGCGGCGGCTGGAAGTGCGCGAAGGGCGCGATGGCGGGCGTGTGCGGCGCGGCCGGGGGGCTGGCGGCGCCGGCCATGCCGGAGTGGTGCGCGTAGCCGTAGCCGGGCGGCGTCACGTAGCCGGAGGCCGCCGCCGCGGCTGCGGCTGCGGCCGCCGCCGCCGGGTAAGCGTACTGCTCGTAGGCGTTGGCGTACTGCACGTACGCGGCGGCGCCGCCGCCGGCCGCGTGCGCCGCCGCGTAGTCGGCGAGGTACGGCGAGACGGCGGTCGCGTGGCTGGGGCCCTGCAGCAGCAGGCTGCCCGGCTGCATGAGCGCCTGCGGGTAGACGTACTGCGCCGGGATCCTGCACGCACGCGCAAGCACACACGCACGGTTAGACCGGCGCACGGACTAATCGCGTGGTGAACGTGTTCGGTCATACCGTGCATCGCTGCTTACGGCCGGGGCTTTAATGTTAAATTCTGTCAGAGTCGTCATTACCAAAACGTGATTACGGACTCGGAATCTGTCAGGGTCGCCACTCTGCCATCATCCACATGGGAGTCAAAATAATTAGCAGAGCCGAGGTGGGAATTCATCACGGATCCCGCCATGGTAATGTAGAACTTCTACCAATTGCTCAGAGCGAGCAGGGCCGCCCCCCCCCCCCCCCATGCGCATTTGAGCTGCCAAGTAATTTGCGGAACGAACGACGGTGCGTTGACGTCGTGCTTACAGTTTTAACGTAAAAAGGATCTTTTTTTTCTCATCGTTCAAGCGAGGTGTAATCGTTTCAAAAGCTTAAATCTTTTAAAGTAAGGCCAGATTACATGTGCTAAGAAAAGCACACTTTATATACAAAACATTCAATTAAGTTAACACCAAAGTGTTTATCAATGTAGGCGCCGTTGCTGCTGCAACATCGAATCTCGGTTATTTCACTAATTATTTTCAAATTATTCCCCAACGGCAGCAACGCGGCGTTCACGGTATAACCGAAGTGTTCAAAGACACACCGGGGGGGGGGGGGGGGGGGGGGGGGGCACGGAGAGAGAGAGAGAGAGAAAGACCGCCAGTGACCCGAGTGGAGTGCACAGAGCGTCACGGTGCGGGTTATAGGTTGGTGCAAATATTGAAACAAAAATCATCGTGGCACACATTTGTTATCTCATCCAATTAACAGTGTACCTGGCATGACTTGTTTGATACCAATCCGAATTCAAAGTCTCGTGTCATCATGGCACTGGACTGTGCAGTATGCCATTAAATAAATACACCACACCTATAATTTGCATATCAAAACGGCAATCCTCATAATCCATATCAAACACCATGCCACACCGCAAGTCCAACATCAAAATCAAAGTGGACATCCATTATAAAATGATTTATATAAAAACACAAAAACAAAACAAGCCAAACAGCAATGCACACATTTATGGAAATATAAGAATAAAAACAGCAGTGAATATAAAAAGAAAGAGCGCAAAGGGCAGGAAGTACAAAAGATCTGGCGCTAAAAGCCTGCAACGCTCGGAAATTAACTGCTCCAAATAACAGGAATGAAAAATGTTACACATTTAAAAAAATAAATCTAGCATCACTTTGGTCTGCCCAATAGAAAAAGCCTCCTGCCAAATAGCCTTCCGGGTACCAATAAACAATCTTACTTGGTGCATTACTCTGCCCGACTGCCTGCAGATGTGTACATCAATCCCAGACATATCACGAGTGAATAAAATCTGCAACAGTCGTGAGCGAGGATACACGACTGGCATGCCACATGCAGCTCAGAGCAGTCCTGGCGACGTGTGTCACCTCGTAAAAATGGCACGCACAGCAACAACTCGTTATAGATTTGCATTAGCAACGCAGCACTCAAATAAAACATGTGCGGTATTGTGCGTTGTCCAGATGGATGACGGTCCGTTTCATCTCAAAGTAAAAATCCAAAAGCATCTTTGCCTTTCCTGCCGTGGTCGATCAAGCGCGATAAAATAACTACATAAAAAACATGACTGTGACATTGAAGCTATCGCTGTAATATGTTTTTTGTGCGTGTCTACAATTATGCGGCTCAACACAAGCTTCAGTACGCGTCGGGCAAAGTCAGATAAATCACACATCGCCCGGTGCCGATATCAGCCAGGGCTATGCGCAAGGGCACCTCAAAAACATTGGGCTGCCGCCTGTTGACGTAAATCAAAGGGTTGTTTCTGTGAAGGTGTCCCCGCCAAAACTGCGAGGCTGCCCCTTTAAAAAATCCCACTTCCTTGGCAGATAGACGGCATGCACATATACGGCCAGGGACGGCATGCCACCCGGGTTCGGGGCTCACAGTCTATTCTTAACTCCCATCAACGCGGCACGTGACTCCCATTTATATTCAGGCACCCCCCCCCACCTCGCCAACCCCCTTCCCTCGCCCCCACACCCCTTCCAGCGTTGACCGCGCACATTTCCATCCGCACCGAGAAACGCTCCCACGTCCGAATGCGCGGACACTCGGTGTGGTCGAGACGTCGCTCGCAAGTCCGTACGCGGCACAGCGTCGCCACTCGCGATTAGCCCGAACACCCCGACGCTGCCGCCAGGTGGGTGGAACGGCGAACGGCGCGCCGCAGGGCACCGCAAGGCAGAGGTCGCACGTTCGATTCCCCGTGCGGCAGTTCGCCGGCACCGAGGGGCACGTTTCTTAAATCCCACCGCGTCCGTCCACCCAGCAGGATAGCCCAGTTAGTCAGTAGGCTGGTCGCGTGCGATGGGTAAAGTGGGTAATCCCACCTGTTCCAAGCCATTTGGCCAACATGGAAGAGTAGGCCAAAATTGCCTCGAGGGTTTCTCTCGTGGATGCATTTCTGCCAGCAATGGCATGAGCAAGTAATTGCCTTTACGTATGCACGTATGTATTTTGAACTTTTCACACCGTAAGTAGCCAACCATGCTAATCCTAGGACTGGATTGGTGCAAGAAAGCTGCTGTGTCATCAAGATATTGGCTCATCGTGAATCGCAGCGAAGGCATCTCCACGACGGAGCGGGAAGACAGAACGACGCACCAATTCAAATCTCAATGGGGATTCGAGGACAATTTATGATTGAGTTTAATTAAAAGAACTAAACTTTTTATTTTACCAGGTAAGGCCCACGGAGCTACATAGCTCTATTTTCAGAAGCAAACTGAGCACACATGGGATCGAACCCCCAACCTCCTGTAAACCAGGCGAGAGTTAACATCTTGCTACCGTGAACACGAAACCGAGATGACACATTCCTGGACAAGACCCACTAAAAAGTTAACTGCATAAAAACAGGTAAAGGTACAGCCCTGAAATTGATCACTCACACCACTGTTGGCAGAAGGGGAATACCCACACTTTACCTCACCGCACACGATCTGCCAATGGACTGACTGCGGTCAAACATATTTTTTTGCTGGGTCTAAATAAAAAGACAACTCAAATGGTGACTATATAATTAACTAGCCTGCATCCAGAATATAAACTTAGCCACCAACTGTCAAAAATCCATTTAATACAAGTACATTTTCTACCCTGTCAACACTAAACCGTGGCGTAAAAATGCGGCTATTGTTTGTTCAGAAAGCCTGTTGGCTCGACGTGTTGGTGACAGTTTCAATGTGCAGAGCTCCATCACCCACTCGGTTGGGTGTGTGATCAGCTGTTACACGGTTAAACATAGCTCACAGGAGGGCAGACACTCTTGACAGACGGACAGAAAATGCGGCAGCCAGATTACTGCCATCTTATTTTTTGGGGGGCGAAAAAAAACCGCACACAGTTTGTCGCGTCTGTAGTCACAGAAATGTGGTCCTGGCTCATTTATTTTGAGCGGTTTTAATTTATTTACGGCAAACGACAATAAATTATCGGCCTCCTTTGTCACAACGTAGAGACGCGCAAACGCCAATTAATTCTGCCCACGGTATTTGGCATTTCAATGCGACAGCGCCAAACATGCTGCCACAGGCCACTGATTAATGTGGGTTGGTGCGGCTTTTTGTGTAGAACTTTCAAATGACACTTATTATTCCATTGCCCAATCTATTATTTCCCACACCCGGTGGGGGCAGCACCACCGTGACCTCTCATTGATTAAAACAAGCAATTGTTTTGCATACTCATTACTGATATGCACTGTATAAGGCCCTCTCTTTGTTATTACATGAAACTTTTTTTTAAACAGGTAAGGCCCACGAGCTAAATAAGCGCCCTGACCACAAATGATAGCTCATGTGGAAATTGAAAGCAGACAAATACGTTAAAACGCATGTTTGTAAATGTGGGGGGGGGGGGGGGAAACCGGAGGAACCAGATAAAAATCCACGCGATCATGGGGAGGGAGAACACGCAAACTCTAAATATACAGGAATCAGGGTCAGGATCAAACCCAAGACCTCCTGCATACCAGGCGAGTGAGTTAACATCTCACAGCCAATAGCAGATTGACTGCTATGCAGTCAATCGCCTCTCGCCGTGTCCCCTCTCGCACGATTTCCATTCAGAAGCCGAGACGGAGGTGTAATCTCGCGCCGCGCACGTGGTCCATTTATCGGCTGCCCGTCACCGATAGCTGCGAGTGCCCAGACTCCATTCAGACTCTCAGCACCATTTTGGGAGCGAGGGTTTCTCACCGTGGGGAGTGCCACTTGCACCACGGGGCACGTGGCACGCACCTCAAGAGGCTTGAAAGGAGTTGGAGTCCACAGTCAGAGGCGATATGTGCCAATATTCCACTGGAACACTCCGTCCCAAAGCAAAGCAAATGACTGTAATCATGCGCAGCGGTGCTTAAATAATCGTTCCAATGTTAGATGCGTATCATTTGCGCCCACCGGCTATAGATCTATCCGTAGTGAACTCGCACGTATCCGGAATCCATTTGTAAAACTCCCCCAGAAAATGTTTGAGTACGCTTTGTTGATTGTATAATCTTCGAATGTTTTGGCTTTTGTAGTAGTACTCTTCACAGCATGCACGTGCGTGTCTGCGGCATCGGCCCGATTACATCACACAGGCTTGGGTGCTGCTCTGTTCAATTCCCATTCACCGGTCTCCGCAACTGTTGCGTGCAGGACCAACAGCCTAGAAAGGCAGGGTAATAACAGGGAGTAACAGTTCAAACAAACTCCCCCCACCATCAATGTATTTGTTGAACTTAGGTAGCCAACTGCGCTAATAGGAGGGGCAGGGGAAGGACAACTGACTAAAGAGTTTCCTATGGAGCAATGCACGGAGCTCCTGCAGACCAGCTAATCATGTGGCCGTGGTAAGCATCCTATCGGACGCGTCCCATTTGATAACCACGCCACTATTTTTCTTTACTCCCTGAAGCAACGTGCCCT